TTCAGTGATGATTCAGCTTATGACAATTGGGGCGAGACGAGTTTGTTAACTACTTCTCTACGGTAGGCGTCCGCCTGCTCCCCCTTTTTAAATATCTGTAGTCATTCAACCTTTGTTTTCTTTATCTTCTTTTTTTTTTCTTTCTTGGCTTTCTTTCTTCTTTTATATCTCTCTTTATTCTTATGGCCATTATTTTTAATAACGTCATTGTTTCTCTCTCTCTCTCTCTGCTTTCTCTTTCCCTTTTTGCAATCACACCTTCTTTTTCTCTCTGTCCTCCTCCCCCGTACCCTAAACAACAACAAAAAAACAAAAAATTTCCACTTGCCCGGAAGCATCGTTCCATTTTTGATTAAAGAAAACATTTGAAGATGTTCTCCCTCAGCCGATTCTCGTATATTTGTTATTTCTGCAACTCTCCAGCCTTACCTTCATTCACTCAATTTTCATTCATTCTGTATTCATTTTTTATTTATTCATTTCTAAATCGCTCGGTTGACTTTCTGTGAAGCTAGAATCGCCCTAATAACTCAACCCGCTCGCGTCCGCCGCCATATTGGCCGTAGAGTTTTCAAGCTCCGGAAACACGCGTTCTGTTCGCATAAAGAACCCAATTCTCTTTTGTATTACCCTCTATCATTCTTTAGTATTCTACTGCTCTCTGTAATCCTTTCTTTATTACACCTACTCCTTCACACACACAATTCCTTTCACACGTTATTTCTTTTTCTAGAAAAAACACACACACTCTCTCACACACAATCTCGAACATACAAGCACTATTCCATTAATACACATTTTCTCTTTCTCAAACACACATGTGCACTTTCGTACCTTTTTTTCCACAGTCACTCTCTCTCTCTCTCTCTCACACACACACACACACATTCTCTCTTTCCCACACAGACATACACATACACTTGCGCGCACGCAGCACATCCATCACATTATTACTCATTCACCTCCTTTTCACACATACACAAAACTCTTTACACAAAATTGTCCCTCTTCGTTTCTCTTACACCTCCCACGTTGATATCACATGTAAGAATAATATGTTAAAATTTCATTCAGTCTACAGAAACACAAACAAAGAACCGTACCAAATATCAGAAACCACATCACTTGAAGACATTTAACACTTTTGCTGAAATATGGAAGAAGAAAGAAAAATAAATGATAATTTCATTTTTGCGTTGTTTGTTTTTATTGGTTAAGCAGACCTCACGTGTATCTGTTCTGTCGCTCAGCGTTCGCGTGTATAATTTAAGCGTGTATGTATTGAAGTGTGTATGCATATCATAATTCTATTTTGTCTATGTGGTCGATTTATATAGTTTGTTTAGCGGCACATGAACACCTCTATAAGTTAATTAAAGACGAAATTTAAATATTTTATACGCAATTTTATGCCTTCAACTACAGATATTTTGTAAATAATTTCATACTTTCAGGGTAAATGTATGTTTTTGCTAGATATATATTTTGTAGATCATAAAATGGATCGTTGCTATTCTAAGAAAATGCGTTGCTGGTAATTTCACTAGAAAAATGTATTGGTCATTTTTTTTATAAAAATGTATTGCTGGTAATTTTACTATAAAAACGTATTGTTGGTAATTGTATTATAAAAAATATACTGTTGATTTTTGTTTGAGGGAGTTTACTATTTGTCCATAGATGGTACCCCTAACAGGTGCTACCACCCCAGATTAGAGTCAACCTGGGAATACCAGCAGTTAAGAGATGGTTCCACACTCCTCAAAAGCTCCAATTTCCTGATCAGAGGCCTTGCTGCCGGATGTAGTTTATCGTCATACCCAGGACAGTTGTCTATGCGGCATTCGGTTAATGATGTATATGTTTACTGATTGTCCGTCCGTATGTTGATTTGAATTATGAATTATACGCATAATTTTAGGTATAAAGCTATTGTGAAACATTGACGTCAGTTTTGATGAGATTCTATAGGTTAAATAGTTTCAGTAATAATCCATCATCGATTGCGAATCATTTGGTGATACAAAGTTAAGAGCGCATGTAATCGTCCTTGGTTTAAGAATTCCAGTTCCCAATGTTTGTGAAGATTTATAAATCCAGCATTCAAAAGCACATTAGAATAGCAAAAGATACATTGCTGAATCTAAGCAAAGTATTAAGAAATGGTACAATTTCGTTAGAAACAAAGAAAGAATCCTGAACTGTTATGTAAATCCATCCACTTATATGGCAGTGAATGCTGGACAATTTCCTCACGGATGAAGAGAACAAGGCAGCAAGTTCTCTTATCGGGAGATTGGAGATTTTGAGAAGCGTGGAACCACCTTTGCTGTTGTCCCCAGGTCCACCATTACATTGGGTGGTAGCACCTGTTAGGGTCCCAGCTATGGGCAAATAGTGAACTCCAAACAAAAATCAACAGTACATTTTTATAAAATGAGCAACAATACCTTTTTCTAAAAACATGACAATCAGTGCAACACTAAAAAAATATAGAAATACATTTTTATAGTAAAATTATCAACAATAAATTTTATGATGTACAAAGTGTATATCTAAAAAAAAAAGATGTTTTCCCTAAAAGCATAAAATTACGTACAAAATATTTAGATTTCGGCATTAAATAAACTAGAGATTGATAAGCCGCTAAACAAAAGCAATCAACCAAAAGCGGAGGAAAAATGCGACAACAAAATCTAAACGCGTATTAAAATAGCAAAAGATGTCTTCCAAAAGCTAAGCAAGTTATGAAGAAACAAGAAATTTCTTTAGAAACAAAGAAAGGATTGCTGAACTGCTATAGAAGATCTGTCTTCTTGTATGGCTGTGAATGCTGGAGAATTTCCTCACAGATGAAGAGAAAAATGGCGGTAACAAAAACGTGGTTCTACAGAAGGATGCTGAGAATTCCATGAAAGACCGGGTAAGAAACGAAGAAGTCTTAAGGAAAATGGGACCAAAAAGCCCAAGATCAGAAAACAATCTGAAATTTCTTAGACACGTATTGAGAAAGGAAGGCTTGGTGAATTTAACACGCACAGAACATATCGAATCCCTTAAGGACAGTGGAAGGTAGCTAGCCACCCAACTGACTGAGTTTACGTGAATGGATAGCGGGACGAAGATAGAAAAATATCAAGACAAACGTTACTAAGAGCTATAAGAGATCGAAGTTGTGGAGAGCCATGATTGCCTATGTCCTTAAGGAACATGACACATAAAAGAATATGATTTTGAAAGTCTTAGTCATTGTTATTTGCATTTCATTGATTAAATGATGTGTTATTCTAAAATGGCATTTCTTTTCTTCGGCGCTGTGATTGTTGTTCTCTGAAGAGTAAATGGTAAAAAAAAAAAGAAAAGAAAATGCAGACGATATAATCTAAAGACCGAAAGAAAACCCAGTAAAATGATAGAATTAAAATGTCTGAAAGACAAATGGAAAACAAATTACAAGACGAGCAATAAAACAAAAAAGAAATAAAATAATGCTATTAAAAGAAAATAAAATGGCGGCCAGGGAAAGAATTAGAGTTGTTGAAGTTAAATAGACGACATAGAACCCCTGAGGGTGCATCGAAAAACTAAACCCAGGAGTTGATCCGTCTGAGTTGATCCATTCAAGTTGATCCTTTGCGTGTCACCGATCATTGATATTTATGACACTGTGTAATAAGTCAACAAATTCGCGCTCAATTTTTTTGACGTTCCTTCCAGGCAGATGACGATCGAAGCATAAACGGCCAGTCTGGTCGTTCAATCTGCATTCGTCTTGTTCGGGCATGAAGGTTTTGTTTTTCTCTTTTGCCATTATTTTTTTATTTTTTATTTTTTTTACTGAAAATCAGTGTTTGCAGATGAAATATGTGGGCGTTCGAATGGGTCAAGTGTATTTGCCGTAACCACACGGGCTGAAAAATAGATTCATTGTTTCATTATTGGATTTAGGTTGCTTTAAAGGCAATATAAAAACTGAAAAGGGGGAAAAAGAAAGAAGAAATATTAGAAAAAAGCGGGAAAATATTGAGAACTGCAAAGGAGAGAAAAAAGAATTATCATTCAAAAGATTGAAAAATTAAAAGAAAATAAGACAGAATAAAAAACTGAGAAAGAATAAAGAATAAAGAAAGAAAGAAAAAGAGTAAAGAAAGAAGGAAAATAACAAAGAAAGAAGAGAAAAAGAAAGAAATGAGATAAAGACAAAATAAAAGAAGGAAAAAGAGAAAAGATACAAAGAAATAAGAAAACAAATGTTTCTCATCAAAGAAAGAAAATGAAGAGAAAAATTAGAGAAAGAAAGAAACAAAGAAGGAAAAAAGAAGTAAACAAAATGTTTCTTATCAATAAAGGAAGAAAAAAAGAATTATAAAGAATATATAAAATGAAGAAAGTAAGAAAAGAAGAAAAGGAAAATGAAGAAAACAAGAGATATAAAGATAGAAAAGAAAAAAAAAAAAAAGGAAGAAAGAAGTGACTATAAAACCCAAACTCAAAGGATTCAAATGAATAAAAAATGACAAGAAAATTAAAAAAACAAAACAAAAAAAAGAAGTGAAACGAACGAATCGGAAAAGAAACAAAGGAAAATGAAGCGAGTTAAAGAAAAAAATAAAACTGAAAATGTCAATAATTAAGATAAAAAAACAAAGAAGAACTGAGAAATGAACGAAAGATGACAGAAGAGAAAATGAAAAGAAAAAAAGGAAATATATCGTCATCCTGATACAGACTAATAATGTGATTTTTCAGTTTATTTCTCCGTCCATAACAATAGACTCGCCCGTTGTCGGATAATTATTACCATCCGAGTCTCACTATATAAATGCACACGCACACAACACAGAGAGAAAATGGTACTGACATGAGGATCAATACTGCATGCTATCATTTTCTGTCAGGCGATCTTCAGATACGTTGTGTTGATTCCAATGTCGACCTATCTATCTATCTATCTATCTATCTATCTATCTATCTATCTATCTATCTATCGTAACCTAAAGAAGGTTACTAAATAATAATCACACGAAGGTTGGGAATGAACGATAATACTTAGGGCACGAACAACGCATAAGATTCGTCAGCGGCGCGTAGAAATAGTAGTCAACTGCTAGAAGTGAGTCAAGTGAATTCCACAATGAGTCTCTAATTGCAGGATATCTACTAACCGTCCCACACGGTCATGTGGCACAAGGCTGAATCTCCAAATTCAGACCAACATACAGTATTTACTACTGTTTTTATGTGAATGGGGACATACCCATTATCGTCCGTAGGTATGCTACAACACTTTCTTTCTCTCCTCTCCTCTCTCTCTCTCTCTCTCTCTCTATATATATATATATATATATATATATATATATATAGAGAGAGAGATAGATAGATAGATAGATAGATAGATAACTTATTTTATTTAATTGATGTCAAATATTATTATTATTATCAGTTTGTGATTTTGATGGTCATAATGCAATGATGATGGTTTCACTGTCGAAAATGACTAGACAATCCAATTTATCTACTTTGAATGTGATCACTACGCATCCCCAACACTGTTTTTTTTTGTCTGGTTTGTCTTAAGTCACCCTATCGCCTTCTTTTCTTCCTTCTTTCTTTCTCCCCCTTCTCTCCCCCTCTCCTTCCCTCTGCCTCCCCATCTCTCTTTCTGACTCTCTCTCTTTTTCTTCCCCAATTTTAAAAAAAAAAAAAACTTATATTGAAATTTTAATTTTTCTTTCATCCTTTTTTTTAATATTAAAACTTTTTCTTTTTTCCTTTTTTTCTTTTCATTGCGTCTGTATAAATTGACTCCATTTATTAACAAAACGCTGGTATGAAGAAATGGATGTAAAAGTCCACGAAATAAATTAAAGCCAGATGGATTTTTAAGGATTCTGTATTCATTGGTCTGTTCTTACATTGAGCTCTGTTTGGATTAATATTCTCCTTGGAATTATCTCTAGTAATTATCAATTAATTTTTATATATATATATATATATATATATATATATATATATGTTCAACAAGTTAAGGTCCAAATGAGCTATCTGATAATCGGATAAGTCACTTGAAATTCTCTTAATTTCTTGAGTATTATAGTTCTAGTTATCTGTTGAGAACTTTTTGCTACAAGTTCTGCTAGCTTGAAAAAACACATACAACTCATGTAATTTTCACTTATTTCCTCAGTTATTTTTATTATTATATTTATTATTATTATTATTATTGATACAGTATGTAAGTCTGCTCGGTTCAATAAAATTAAATTGGTAGTTGAGATAAAAATGACCTACAGTCTGTTGTTAACTGCGGCAAGAAATGGCCTGTTAATTTTAACTCCTTCAAAACAAAATGACTATATTTAGTCACCTGAGAGAACGCTTTTTTTGCCTTCAATAATCATGGCTGATGCTAACCTCCAGGAGAATGACAACTGGCGGCTTCTCGGGATAACGTTTTCCGTTGACGTGATGTGAAAATATTATATTGAATCAATTGTTCGGTCGGCTGCTATGAAGGTTGGTTCACTGTATCGTGCTAGACAATTTTTCAAGCCAGAATCTATCTTACATACTTATAAGTCTACCATACGTCCTTGCATTGAATGTTGCTATTACATCTGGACTGATGCTTCTGTTATGAATTTAGAAATTCTCAATAAAATATAAAGGACAATTTGCAGTGTTATTAGTCCTGATCTGATATCTCGGTTCCAGTCAATTTTTTACCACTTCGTCGGACTTTTTCTATAAATATTTTCATGATAATTGTTCTTATGAACATTCCGCTATGATACCTAGACGTTATCAAATTAAACGTACTAACAGATTAGCGGAAAAGATCTCATCATTTTACAGTGGAAATGGTTAGATGTAACCATGTATGATTTTACAGTGGACATGGTTAGATGCAACCGTAAGTTCTATGCTAACAGTTTCTTATCTCGCACTTCTATCCTGTGGAACACTTCTCCAGCTATTTGCTTTCCAGTCAAACTTGATCTTCAAAATCTGTCTATATTTCTGAGATGAGGTATTATGTACATTATTTATATTATTCAGACTATTGTCCTCATCTTTGTCACCATATTTATTACAACGTTTCGGCCGTTGTACGCTCCGGCCTTCTTCAGGTGGTTGGAATGTCGAACTGAACCCTTTATTTCGCTCACTGGGGTAGACTGTTTTAGTTCCACGTGCCATGTTTAATGGATGTCAGTTATCAGTTATCTCCTGTTAATTTACCTCTGAAAGTTCTCCACTGCCTTAACCGGGTATTGAACTCACACTCTTTGGGACCTGTTACTGGATCTAACCAACGCCTTTATCCACTGTGCCATGTGTCCTTGATCTTCAAAATTCTAAATGCAATATCTATCATTATCTTTTTTCTTCTTAATTCCTGTTCTTTAATTTTTTCCCTTCTTAATAGTGATTTTCTTTTTCCTATATTCTCTCACACTCAGTAAACCCTTGCGTCTCAGTGGCTCTATTGCATTGTTTCAGGTGAAATTGTTAAAATAGTATGTATGTAAATACTTCTAATGTAATTGATCCTAAATTGGCATCTCGACATCAGTCACTTTCTCACCGACGTGGCTTCCCTCTGTCTTTTCTACAAATATTTTCATGGAAACTGCTGTGACGAGTTTTTTTTTCTCTAGTGCCCCGAATACACGAATTTAAGCGGGCTATTAGATTGGCGTCTAGGCCCCACCCGTTTACTGTTGAAATAGCAACTTCTACTTCAACAGTTTTTTCTCGCACTTCTCGCCTGTGGAACTCATTTCCGTTTACTTGCTTCCCTGATAACTATAGTCTTCAAAAATTCAAATGCAACGTCAATCTTCTTGAATCCCAATCAACTTTTTTTTCTTTCCTCAATCCTCCCTATATTCAGTCTTTTCTCTCATATTTACTCCCTGTAACCACCCCCCTGCGTACTAGTGGCATTCTCGTCTTGCTTGGGTTGAAATTATTAGAAATATATTTTTCTCATTGATACATATATATTGAAATATATCCATGAAGATTTTACGGGCAATAACAAGTTTATTATAATATTTATATAGATGTACATATATAATTTGTTTAGTTTCTGTTCTGTTTCAAGGCATTACATTCGATCATCGAAGTTAAGCAGTGTCGAGAACGGTCATTACTTAGATGGGGGATCGCTGGGAACATTGGCAACGGAACGAGAACAATTTACACTGTAGATTAAATAAAAGATTCACTTCGAAATTCACCGAAGGTTATCAAAATCGATATAAACTTGAGGAAGTCTGGAGGGCACAACGGCCGAAACGTTGTGACAACAACAACAAAGATGAAGACAATAGTCTGAATATAAATAATGCAAATAATGATAATCTCTCTTCATCCCAGAAATTCAGACAGAAATTGCTATTTTAAAAATGTTAAACTCTCGTATTTTCGGCATTTTGCTGCTATTAAAACCCTTGTCCGGCTTATCTTGGCACATTTTATAAAATAATTTCGTAGACATGTTACAGCAAAAACAACGACTCTGTCGGCAACAATGGCTTCATCAGATGTTGACTCTAGCGCCAGACATTGTTTTGGGGCCGATATATCATTACTACAATTCCAGTGCAGGTCTACAGTATTTTATGAAACCATTATACTTTGTTGGTTTTCCATCACAGTATAAGATGGTCAGCTGAAATATTTCCTCTTGCATTTGAAACTTTCCAATCAAAGATCATAAGTCCAGAAGTTAGCGATAATATATTGAGGTGAGATTTGTATTAGCTGATGTCGTTACGCTGACCTATAAATTGCAAAGACAAGACTACATTCTACATTAAAGCAGGAGTCAGCAACATTTTGGGTAGAGCGGACCAGAAAGCTATGCATTGTCTCGGAGGAAGGCCATGATATCAAAATGTCCTATAATAAATCATCTCAACTTAAGACTACTCTATAGAGAAGGCTGTCTTAGTCTAGAGGTTTAAAGAAAAAACAACAAAGTTAACGTTATATTATTTAAACAATTTTCCTTATTTTACTGCAGGAATAACAGGATAACAATTAACACAAACAAGAAAAAATGCAAATACTTTAGTACAAACGAAATACACTTAGAAATAACAAATTATTTAATGAGGCATTTGTTTCTGCTTATTCTTCAATAACTTCTCCACATCAGGAGAAATATTTGTCGATGACAGGAGCAAAACATCATCTAAATTGTTATCACCGAACGACTATTAATAGATTTCATTTTCGAAAAAGTTGTTCACAAGCTTATGTACTTACAAATACCATCATTTTCGCATTATTCAATAGGCTTTTCTATTTTCCGCTTGGCAAAACCTATTTCTTGTAGAAGTCAGTTTTGGATTCGGCAAGAAATTTTGATTTAAAAAATTCGTCGTATTGTAAGTCAGTTAACTCCAACTGATTTTTTTTTTATGCCACTTGCTCCACAAATTAATTAGATAATTATTGTTCAGGTATTAAACAGGCGGACCGGGCAAAAAACCTTCGCGGGTCGGATGTGTCCTAGGGGCCGGGGGTTACAGACCCCCTGCTTTAAAGACTAGCATTCTTTAAACTATTGGTCAAAATTTGGGGGAAACTCTGAATTTTGAAGAATCCTATAAACGTTAAAGTTGGATGCCTTTTTCAAAATATTTAATAGAGGAACTTTCTGTTCTTGAAGGGTTTTTACTAGATATCCATTAATAATAATAATAATAATAATAATAATAATAATAATAATGATTTGGTAGCCCATGCCTTAATGAAATACAAAAAAAAACTGTTCTCGTGATTACAACCCACACCTTACGAAGGGTTTTATCAATGTAAAATATGCGTGTTTTTTGGGGGGATTTTTTTTTTTTTATTTTATTTCTCAGTGTAAAATGTCATGATGCCATTTCTGACCTTAGGTCTCTGGTCGGGACCCGGAATAATAATAATAGCGAAAATAACGCATTGCTGCATAAAACCTAACCACCTTATAAGTATCAATGAGGACAGCGGACGGGAGAGTCGAGCTGGGATCTGCAAGACTAGCGGCCTTCCGAAAACAGCACGCACAAAACTGTACTGACTTGCGACGACCATGCGCATAACTATTCCTTACTTGTTGTACTGGTTTCTACAATAAACCTGTTACTATTTATCCAGCGTGTTTGTCAATTCCATATTCCTATTAGCACGGAATATAACATTTCGGAATCCTAGTTTGGTATGAATTAATTAAACCAAATAATGTGCAACACTTATTAAGTACTAAGTCCAGTGTTTGGTTTCAAACTTTTGTAATATGTTAATCGACCGGGCACTGGTACTCTTCAATCGAAGGTTTACGGTCACATTACGTTGAACACCGATTTCCGTATGATCACAGATGTTAAGCAACGTTGGGCCTGGGCAGTACCTAGGTGGGTGACTGCTTGGGAATGAGGGATGCTGTAAGCTTTGATATGTGGAATTTTTAATGGATAATGGTTCTTAATTGGAAATCACTGAGACGTGTCGTAATTCCAGTTATGTCCATTATATTCACATATGTGAAAATACCCTTGGGGAAGGTATGAATCTACTCCTTCCCCTTACCCCCAGCTATGGGTTAATTGGTAAGACGTGTCTCACTACTATTATCTTTAAAAACAATTTTACAATCTAAAAATATTTTTGGTTTTAAATAACCAGTTCAGTTCCTTTCTTCTTTTCAAGTCATTTTAATATCTTTCTTTCTTTTTTTTTTTCTTTCTTTTCTTTTTTCTTTCAACACATTTCATTTTTCCAACACATTTCGTTCTTTCATTTTTTCTTTTCTTTCATTTCTTTCTTTCTTTCTTTCTTTTTTTTCTTTCTTTCTTTTCTTTCATTTCTTTATTCGTTCTTTATTCTTTCTTTCTTTCTTTCTTTCTTTCTTTCAACACATTTCTTTCTTTATTCTTTTTTTTCTTTCTTTCATTTCATTTCAATCTTCCTTTCTTTCATTTCAACACTTTCTTTTTTTTCTTTCATTTCTTCATTTCTTTTTCTTTCTTTCTTTCTTTTCAACACTTTCGTTCTTTTTCTTTCTTTTCTTTTCTTTTTTTCTTTTATTCTTTCTTTCATTTCAATTTTTTTCTTTCTTTTTCTTTCTTTTTTCTTTTTCTTTCTTTATTTCATTTCAACACATTTCGTTCTTTATTCTTTTCTTTCTTTCTTTTTTCTTTCTTTTTTTTTTTCTTTCTTCTTTCTTTCTTTCATTTCAACATTTCGTTCTTTATTCTTTCTTTCTTTCTAATTTCATTCTTTTTTACTTTCTTTTGTTTCTTTCTTTCATTTCAATTTCTTTTTTATTCTTTTCTTTCTTTTTTCTTTCTTTCCTTGTTTCTTTCATTTCAACACATTTCGTTCTTTATTCTTTCTTTCATTTCTTTCTTTCTTTCTTTCTTTTTCTTTTCTTTCTTTCTTTCTTTCTTTCATTTCTTTCTTTCTTTTTTCGTTCTTTATTCTTTCATTTCTTTCTTTCTTTCATTTCAATTTCTTTCTTTCTTTCTTTTCATTTCAAATTTCTTTCTTTCTTTTTTTTTCTTTCTTTCTTTCTTTCATTTCAACACATTTCGTTCTTTATTCTTTCTTTCATTTCAATTTCTTTCTTTCTTTTCTTTTCTTTTTTTTTCTTTCTTTCTTTCTTTCATTTCAACACATTTCGTTCTTTATTCTTTCTTTCTTTCTTTCTTTCTTTCTTTCTAATTTCTTTCTTTCTTTCTTTCTTTCTTTCTTTCTTTCTTTCTTTCTTTTCTTTTTTCTTTCATTTCAACACATTTCGTTCTTTTTTCTTTCTTTTCTTTCATTTCTTTCTTTCTTTTTTCTTTCTTTCTTTCTTTTCTTTTCTTTTTATTCTTTCTTTTCAATTTCTTTCTTTTCTTTTTCATTTTCAACACATTTCTTTCTTTTTTAAATTCATTCTTTCTTTCTTTTTCTTTTCTTCTTTCTTTTCTTTCATTTCAATTTCTTCTTTTTTTTCTTTCTTTCATTTCTTTCTTTTCTTTCTAATTTCATTCTTTCTTTCTTTCTTTTCTTTCATTTCATTTCAATTTTTATTTTTCTTTCTTTCTTTTTTTTCTTTCTTTCTTTCTTTTCTTTTCTTTCTTTCTTTCTTTCTTTCTTTTCTTTTTCATTTCACATTTCGTTCTTTTATTCTTTCTTTCATTTCAATTTCTTTCTTTCTTTTTTTTTCTTTCTTTCTTTTTCTTTCATTTCAACTTTTTTCATTTCTTTCTTTCTTTTCTTTTCTTTCTTTTTTTTCCTTTCAATTTCATTTCAATTTCTTTCTTTCTTTCATTTCATTCTTTTTCTTTCATTTCATTTCGTTTTCTTTCTTTTTTTTTTCTTTTTCATTTCAATTTCGTTCTTTATTCTTTCTTTCTTTTCTTTCTTTCTTTCTTTCTAATTTTCATTCTTTCTTTCTTTTCTTTTTTCTTTTTTCTTTCATTTTTTTTCATTTCAATTTCTTTCTTTCTTTCTAATTTCGTTCTTTCATTTCAACACATTTCGTTCTTTATTCTTTCTTTCTTTCTTTCATTTCAATTTCTTTCTTTCTTTCTTTCATTTCAACACATTTCGTTCTTTATTCTTTCTTTCATTTCAATTTCTTTCTTTCTTTCTTTCTAATTTCATTCTTTCTTTCTAATTTCATTCTTTCTTTCTAATTTCATCCTTTTTTCATTTCATTTTAGTCTTATGGTCATATTACGATGAAACACTGGTTCTTGTCCCATCACTGAATTTAAGCAACATCGAACCTTGTTCAATGAATGCCAAAAGTTTCCTTGTAGTTAAACAGTCGCCATTATCACTACCATCCTAATAATGCCTCCTCAGATTTCCAGCACTTTTTAAATATGACTACCGTCTTGAACAAAACCATGGTCTGTCTAGAGTTGATTATTCTTAAAAAAACACTTTCTTCAATTTAGCCTATCGGTCCTTGAGAATCATTTTTTAAAAACATTTTCTTCGATCTAGCCTGTCGCTTCTTGAGAATAATTCGTTATGTTGTGGTAGGATCCACCTAATTTGCATAGTAGAGTACCGACCATATAAATATGGTTGGTACCGGGAAGAGGGAGGAATCAAGAGATTCAACCAGAGACTCTGTCCGACTGCGACTCAGTCAACACATTCTCCAGGAACGGTCTTACCAGGAATATACAAAAGACTATATGTAAATATTGTGTACACTTTCTTGTTTCAATACATTTTGTTCTAAGTACATTTTGTGTTGCATTATTATTCCATGCATTAGTCAAGTTTCAACACTTTAAAATACTTTCTTCAATCTAGCCTGTCGCTTCTTGACATTCATTCATTAAAATATCCTTTCAATCTAGCCTTTCGTTTCTTGAGAATAATTTTTTAAAACACTTTCTTCAATCTAACCTGTCGCATCTTGAGATTCATTCATTAAAATATCCCTTCAATCTAGCCTGTCTTTTCTTGACAATAATTCTTTAAAACACTTTCTTCAATCTAGCTTGTTGCTTCAAGGCAATCATTCTTTAAAATACTTTCTTCAATCTAGCCTGTCGCTTCTTGAGAATAATTCTGTCTACGCATGACTATAACAGTCTGATGTTCCAAATTTACATTTTTTTTTCTTCTTTTTTTTAAAATTTAAAACCAATTTCTAGTTTATTGTTGTCGCATCTAGGGATATCATCGATTATTTTTTCTTCTCTGTCGCCATGATTTACTTCACCGCCTCCAGTTTTTCTTCTCTTTACTTCCTTTTGTTTTTGTATTATTAATACAACTACCTTACCGCTTTCGTCTCTGCCTTTTTTGTTATCTTCATCTATCTTACTTCACCTCCTTGTGTAGCTACACTCATATTCTTCATTGTCTTACTACCTGGAACCAACAGAGCTCTATTTTCTCTTTTCCCACCAGAACATGTTCACCTGATAGCTCACATCATATTGATTATCGCCAATCCTGATAAACATCACGGCAGAGTGAGACTAGTTCTGATCTAATAATCATAATTAGCAACAATAAGCGCTCTTCTCACTGTGAGTGCCACCTTTCACTTCATTCTGGATGACCCTCAGGTCTTCGGGTTTTCACAAATCATTCATGTGCCAGCATTGAAGTGTGCAGGTTGGTGAATGGAAAAACAGACATGAAGCTTTTTTTTTTTCGGAGAACACAGGCAGACACACTGCTCCTCGAAAAGATGACGGCTTTTTGAAGGAGCGACAGTTACAGGAACAACAAAAAAGGACATTTGTTAGTGGCCCGGATGTTGACAGGGTTACTTAAAGATGCTGTTGTCAGCACATCCTAGTCAAAAGGTATTGTATGATTTGTGATCAGATCCGGTTTTGTTTCTTTCATTTCCTTTAAGTATCTTTCTTTCTTTACATAACTTTTCTTTCTCTCTTTCTTTCTTTCTTTCTTTCTTTCTGTATCTTTCTTCTTTCTTTTCATTTATTTATTTCTTTTATTAGTTTCATCATCTTTCTTTCTTTATCATTTTTTCTTTCTTTCCATATCTTTCCTTCTTTTTCTTTCTTTCTTTCCTTGGTTCTTCTTTTTTATTTTTCTCCCTTTTCGTATATTTCTTTCTTTTTCTAAACATTTATTTATTTCATTTCATTTCAATATCTTTCTTTCTTTTTCTTTCTTTCTTTCTTTTCATTTATTTATTTGGTATCGTTTCAATATATTTCTTTCTTATCCATTTTTATTTCTTTTCTCATTTCATTTTTTCGTTTCTTCTTTCATATCATTTCAATATCTTTCTTTTTTTTCTTTCTTTCATTTCACTTTCTTCCTTTTTTCTTTATTTCAATATCTTTCTTTCCTTAGAGTATTTTTCTTTCTTTATTGTTTTCAATATATTTTTCATTTTTCTTTCATTCATTTCAGTTCCACTTTTTTTTTCATTTCATTTCAGGCTTACGACCATATCGCGTCAAAACACCGGTTCTCGTACGATCATCAAATTTAATAAACGTCGAACCTGGTCTGTATTCAGATGATTAAGTTCCAATTTCAGTTAGGTTCGTTTTATTCACTTACACGCATATAACTTTGGGAAATGTATGGGTCATCTTCTTCGCCATCGCACAGCTAAGAGTTAATTAGTAAAACTTATATCAGTAATTCATTATAATCTTTACCAAAAAATTCTTAGAAACTAAAAATATTTGCTGGCTTTAAATAACCTATAAAGTGGTTGATAAGCCGTAAAAATCAAGTCAGTCAATCCATCGTTTCATTTCAATACCTTTCTTTCTTTGTTTCTTTCTTGTAGTTCATTTCTTTATTTTCAACATTAAAATATGTTGCAATGACAAATTTTCCAAGTTTAGTTCAAGGCATTCTCAGTATCCTTCTTTATAACAATACTTCATTTGTTACAAGTCACTTCTTCATCTATGATGAGATTGACCATCTTTCGCTGTCATATAGGAGAACTGATATTACGTAACAGTTCAGTAGTTCTTAACGAAATTTTTCTGTTTCTTAATATTCTGCTTTGTCTCTTTGATTAAAAACATCATGCAATTAAACCACATGTAGTCATAGTGGAATTGAATTCTATATCTATCTTTTTAAATAATTCCCCCCCCACACACACACACACACTAAGCAAGGCAATAAAAGTTACAGGTATGCGATAAGAGAAAAGAAACAGGTAGATGAATAAAAGAACAGAGCTCAGGAAGACAGTTGATGACGAGTGACATTGCATTTAATTTGTTGAAGTTCGTAGTGGAAATAAAGCTGGAAGCCGGAAATTCCACAAACGTGAAGTTCGGGTGAAGAAAATATTAGTATAGAACCTATGGTTACGACTAGCAGTTTCAACAGGGAAATTGTGAGACCTAGCTACCGATCTAGTACTGCGCTTAAATTCGAGTTACCAACAAGGTAAGCTCATCAGATCATTTATTTATGAAAATATTTATAGAAACGTTACAGTAGTGGGAAAACGACTGAAGAACCTATAACATTGCAGATTTTCTTTGGATTTTTTTAAAGATATAAAACAGAAGTATCAGAACAGATATAGCAGCGACATTCGATGTACGGACAAATGATAGAGTTGTAAATGTACAGGATAGATTCTGACTAGAACATTTGTCTAGCACGAGAGAGTCAAATGAATTTCTGAACAGTACACTTAATAATTGATTTGGCATAATCATTTAATATGGTGTCAATGCAAAATGTGAGATGAAAAAGACGTAATTAGTTATTCTTCTGGAGGTTAGAATCAGCCATACTGATGGAAGGCAAAAAGTTTCCTTCAGATGATTAATAGATTATTTTTCTTTGGCTTTTTGAGATAAATATTTTGAACGTTGGTCCTTACTTACTAATAGCGTGGACATTTCCTTGTTAAACATAAGAGAGGCGTGAGGCATTTCCATTGTCGCTTCGGCTTAACACCTACATGTATCCAAGATTTTACACTATAGAAGTCTTTATATTTCTGTATAGAGTAACTGACTATAGTTAAATATAATTGGCAAAAATGCCCAACAGACACAATTGACAAAGTTTCGAATAAACAATAACAAAAGAAAGAAAAAAAGCAGAGCAAAAAATAATACAGAGAAAACATAATATATATATATATATATATATATATATATATATATATATATATATATATATATATATATTTTGGTTGGATAGACGATCGCTAAAGCGTGAAACCCAGGGTCACAAACTCACATCTATCCAACCAAATATGTTAGTTCTATCTCTGATATTGAGCGCTTTCTAATAAGTACCGCGCATATAATACATAAATAATTATACATATATATATATTTTATTTATATTTATATACTCACACTTTTCACACACACACACACACACACACACACACACACACACACACACACACACAAACACACACACACACATATATATATATATATATATATATATATAAAATTTCTTGATATAACCAAACATACAATCCATACAGAAAAACAAATAACAACCTAAAATATATTAAGAAACATTCCAATCACCCCCGCTAACGTATTCAAACAAATACAAATATCTATAAATAAAAGAATTTCAACAAATTCTCGTAGCTTAAAAAATATTCAATGAAAACATAAAACATATGAATCAGCGTTAAGGAACTGAGGGTATCTAAACAAACTAAAATAGAAAAACGAAAATAATTCAAACAAAAACAACAAAAAAGAAGCATAATTTGTTTCACTCCTTACCTACAACAATACAATAAAACAAAAATAGGGAAAATATTCTTCAAAATAATTGACAAAGACTTTCCTAAAACAGTAAATTAGCAAAAATGATCAATAAAAATACAATCAAAATTAGTTTCAGCTGCATGTCTAACACGGAGAAAATAACAACTAAGCGCAATAAAAAAAAAAACCAATACCAGTTACAACAACAATAACATTCATCAAAATAACACCATCAAATGTAATTGCAGAAACAAAGAAAAATTGCCCATTTAACAATAAAT